TTGTATGTTTATTCCCAGTAGATTTTAGTAATTCGTGAAAAACATTTTAACTTATTTCTTTTCCTTCTGATTATGAAATTCTAACTGCAATTATTTTCGGTACAGCCTCTTCCGCCTCAGGAGGAGATGGAATTGAAAGAGACACTACAAGATATAATTGGACAGGGGAAGACAGTTAAGCTTGAACAGAAGGTACACTAAATAATCCGTTTTTTCTATTATTTTGATGCACAACTCTGCCGCTGTTAAGAAAATTTTGATTGTTGCTTCTTTGCACCAGATTGATCCTAGTATGCACAATTATCCAATTTTCTACTATTTTGATGCATAAGCTGTTCTCCAAGAGTAAAACTTAAATATCGTTTCTTGTACCAGATAGATCCTAGTATTCTTGGTGGCCTTGTGATAGAATTTGGGCAGAAGGTCTTCGACATGTCTATTAAGACAAGGGCAAAACAGATGGAGAGGTTTCTTCGTGAGCCTGCCAACCTTGGTAGCCTCTGAATTATGTGACACATTCCGGCACCTTTGTTGCATGCCACTTGTTCTGCTCCAATTTGAGTGTGCAGAGGAAGGTGAAAGAACTGTTAATGTTATCATCTGGTTCTGTTTTCTTGTAGTCTGCCTTCACATAAGATGGAATGCATCCATTTATCAAATAAGAAATTACTTTCTGTATTCGCATTTCTCTAGGCCCAAATCTGTTTTTTCTGAATATAGGAGGTTGTCTGTATGGGCAAATATTCCTTTTGGGGGGTTCATAAAGTTGTTTCAACAATCATTCAAGTGCGGATTTCCTTAACCATGCAATTGATACAGTTGCTGATTTTTATAGATTCATATATGCTTTGCTTGTACAAGTTATTATAAGCATGATATAAATTTTGCAGATAAGATACTATGGGGCCTAATCAAATATTGGCAAGCCATAATATGGGATATTTTAAGAAGTGAACATCTTTATTAGTAGCGGGGTATGGGGAAAGAATAGGAAAGGCGATTTCACTATATTTCTAATCCGGAACAGGATCTATTACAAGAATATTTTTTTTAATAGGGCGATAATTTTGAAAAGATAGATTGCCTATCTTTTCTTTCATCTAAGGCGAAATGCGATTGGGGGGAGCTAATTCAAAACCCTCTGGTAAAATAAGAACAGCTCCCACATTCAAAACCCTTTTTTTACCATTAGCAAGAACTTGTTTTAGTTGCATATCACAAGGAATTCTAACAATTGCTTCAAATACAGTATCAAGAAGTACTGCTTGTGGAACCTCAATATCCACAGGTTTATTAGCTAAATGGCAATTGGCACATACAATACGCCCTGTTGCTTCTTGTGGATTTTCATAACCCTGTTCCGCAAAAATGGGATAAGCATTTGAAATGGATGCCCAAGTTATTATATATATCATGAGTGATACAGAAATGGATTGAGCAATCTTTTCTTTTATCTAAGAAAGAGTATTTCTAGTTTGCATGGTCCAATGATTGATCCCGAAAATTTAGACAATAAAATTTAGTAGGTCGCTAGTATAGTTCTCTATCCACAATTCTGCTATTTATATTTATTGAAAGAATTTTATCGGAATATATAAGAGAATTCCCCCGTGGGCAGAAAGAGTAAAGTAAATATGACTTTGAATACTTTGTTTATGTACAAAGTAAGAAACATTAGAATTGGATTAGTGAATTA